CGTTTGCTGTGCTTGATTGCATAAAGTGGTAAAGTGGTCTGCTCGCTTTACTTTGAAGAGGCGGTATGCATCAAGGCTGACCTACATACAGATATGTGACCTAGATGCCATTGTGTCAGCAGAGACAGTCCTGCGAAATCCTTAATGCTGATGTGAAAATTAAGATTTTTTTTTTTACTTTTTTTTAAGAGAGAAAGAGAGAGAAACTGCAACAAAAAACGTAGTATATAACTGGTTGGTGAACATTGACTTGGTCTCTGCTGTGGTGCAGAAGCTGAGAGACCTTAGTCGGCATTTCTTCTAAAGCAGATATATACACTAAACAGTAAGTCAGCCTCCGGCCGCGCATTCGACTTGAGAGCAGTCCGATGCAGGTTAATTTCTGTCAAAAAACAGTAGCTAGAGTCAATAGTTCATGTATCGGTGTAATAATGTTTTAATCTGACCAGTCAGTGAACTTAAAATCAATAAATCTAGATTCACCCCCGACAACCCTGCTGTCTGTATTGGAAATATTACCCACGTGTTCTCTGTTTTCAACATAGAATTAACAGTTTTGTAGTGCTTTTGCACAATGGCTACCAAAAAAAGTACGTGTAAAGAAGATCATGTGGTGGTTCTTAATATAAAACCGACGCTTCGGATGACGACAAATGTAAACATAAAATCGCCCCTCCTTATTGCATCAATATAATATAACCTTAACACACAAATTACAGTCTGCATTCTGCTGAGACCGCCTTGAATCTTAGATCCCATCCTTTATAGAATAAGACGGTATAACTGTACTCGTATCATATTATTGGTCATTCTCCGTAGATGTTTTGCATAAGATTAAAATGTATTGTGAACAGCTTTATGTCGACGACCGCCCCTAAGACAATACATCCGCGGCTTGTCAGTCGCCTGCGATTCTTCCCAGCAAATGGATGGGATGTGAAGCGGGGGGGGGGGGGGGGGTTTGTACATGCCTCTTGACGTCATTTGGGTTTATTAACAGTCAGTCCACAGTCGTCAACATCACTTACACTCCGCTCTCCTCAGCACCAGCAAATGCTCCTGGACGCGCTCCTCAGCCGCACCGCTCTCACGAGAGTGAAGAGTAGTCGGACTAAAGGCTTCACCTGAGCTTTAAAAATTACATTTGGACGCCTCCAATTAACTTATCTTGAAATCCATGTGCAAACAAAGGTAAGAACTACTCTGCCACAACACAATACAGTGGAAAAGAAACGAAAGCATTCGTGATTGTTTTTAAATTTCGGATCGATTTCATGTAGGCTATTGTCCAGAAGTTCTTGCGCATGTTGACATTTAATACATTTAAACTACTTTAAGCTTATTGCTAAATTCAGGACCACGGACAGCGGTTTCCTTCTAACATTTGTAGTCCTTGATTCTGTCTTGCATACATAGGCTATGTAAAATTCCGTCAGTGAATATAATCAACTTTGAAAAGTTATTTGATGAAGGGGTCATTTCGGTTTCAGTGTGCACAAGCAATTCTGGTGTAAAAAAACGAAATTTATTTCTCTTCTATAGGCGGGTGTTGACGGGGGAGAAATGAACGAAAGCCTGGAGACAAATGAAACGACGGCGCCTGTCCCTTGGATCGAGCCCGGGGATGGCAACCACAGTTTGGGGCTGTCCTCCTGGCTTTTGGACTTTCCCGTTAACCCCTGGCATGTCATGCTGTGCATGTCGGGCACCGTGATCGCCTGCGAAAACGCCATCGTAGTCGCCATCATATTTTACACGCCGACCCTGCGAACGCCAATGTTCGTTTTAATCGGCAGTTTGGCCACGGCGGATCTCTTGGCCGGTATGGGATTAATCTTGAATTTTGTATTCCAGTACTTGATCTCCTCCGAGACCATAAGTCTTGTGACTGTAGGTTTCCTGGTGGCGTCTTTCACCGCCTCCATCGGCAGCCTGTTGGCGATCACGGTCGACCGCTACTTCTCGCTGTACAACGCACTGACTTACTTCTCGGAGAAGACGCTCTACTACATCCACACCATGCTGGTGGTGACCTGGGGAGTCTCGCTCTGCCTCGGGCTGCTGCCCATCCTGGGATGGAACTGCCTCAAGGAGCCGTCCTCCTGCAGCATCGTCAAGCCGTTAATCAAGAGCAACGTGGTCCTTCTGGCGGTGTCCTTTTTCGTCATTTTCATGATGATGTTAACGCTGTACTTCAAGATCTGCAAGATCGTGTGCCGGCACGCCCATCAGATCGCTCTCCAGCAACACTTTTTCGCGACCTCGCACTACGCGGCCACCAAGAAAGGTGTGTCGACCCTGGCCATCATTTTGGGGACCTTTGGGGCCAGTTGGCTCCCCTTCGCCATATATTGCTTAGTGGGTAAGCAGGACTCTCCTCCCGTGTATACGTACGCGACCCTTTTGCCAGCCACCTATAACTCCATGATCAATCCCATAATCTATGCCTACAGGAACACGGAAATCCAGCGATCCCTTTACGTCCTCTTCTGTGGTTGTTTTCAAACTAACGTGTCTTATCGTTCGAGATCCCCCAGTGAGGTCTAAGTCACGTTTTAGCTGTTTTATTTATTTATATTCATGCATTTGTATATTATGTTTCGTATGTTTTGCACAGTGACAATCTGCTTTTGGTTGGTTGTATTTGAAAGCATTTCCGTGGTAAATGTTTGTACAGCATCGGCACTTTACTGAGTCGTTGGATAACTATGGCCTATTTTTAAATACTGTGAACATACATACTTTGGATATAAAATTTGCATCATGAATGTATTTATATCTAAAAAGCACTTTATTCGGTGCACCCATATGCCAAAGCAGTGTCGCATAGGCCTTGAAGTTTTAAAGTTAACGACCACTTGTAGCTATACTTGTGACTACTGTTGGTGATTTTCTATTTTGTATGTCTATGTACGTTTTATAATCACGGGATGACTATATGAAATAAAACTAAAGTACCGAAACCGCCTCACGTGTTTCTTTGCTACATTCGTAATGCCTGTGTGAACTATTAATTAGGTATTATAAATTAATTAGCGGGATCACACGTGTCTCGCAAGTATCCGCCCCCAGAGCTGAGTGGTAAGTGAGCCGCCACTTGTGGATGATTGTATAACTAATTAAAATGCTCGGAGATTCACTGCAACACATAAAAGGAAAAAAAGTTGATGTAAGCATATGTGACCGATTGCGTTTGAGGTTCAGTCATTAAAATAATCTGAAACTTCACTGGCATATGAAATCTCGTCGAAGACATATATATTATTAAAAGCTTAAATATTAAGATACAATCTCATACCCCATACTTGTAATGCCATCACTCTTCAATCGTGAAAAAAAAAGTTCGACAGATGGATACAATGATTTCACATTTAGGTTTTATTCTGAAACCTATATTCTGACGTTGATTCCCTTCTGAGGAGGGGGGGGGCAGTCCTATAATATAACAGTGAAATATCCTTCTATCACTCTTCTTTACCCCCCATCAACTTTTGCTTTGGTGAGTCCGATGTACTAGAGAATTTACCTGGCTATGGACGTTAAGATGTGGCGCCATCTGCTCCCGACTTAACATTACTGGTGTCACGTACCTAAAGAGCTTCGTTAAGCTGAAATGTGGCTTTGACTATATGCCGGAGTCCTGAAGGTGTGTGCGGCTGTGCAAAATGACCCTATCAGCAGAGGTGGCAATTTCAGGTCCAGAAAGTAAAAATCCAGACCATGATTTACTTTCAACTAGCCAGTTGAGTACTCTGTGACTCTTTATGCTCAACTGGTTGGTTGAGAGTAAATCATGGTCTGGATTTTTACTTTCTGGACCTGAAATTGCCACCTCTGCCTATCAGCTCTGGCTAAATGTCCTCGTTTTGTAATTTTACCTGGGTGCCAGGATTAACCCCCCCCCACAAAACCTGGGAAGGCTTTTCTTTCCCAGCAGACCTCACTGGCTCCTCTTTATTGTGTTTATTTCACATGAATCAGATGCTTATCAGTAACCATTATTTAATGAAGTTTACATATTACACCTTAGTTTTTTTCTATACACTCAGAAAAAAGTGTAAAAATTTGTACCGTACTTTGTCACCGGGGTTGTACCCTTGTATTTGTAGCTTTAAGGTACAGAAATGGACTCTGAGGAGCATCCCAAAGGTATAAACAGCATTAATGTACCATCAATGGTACAGAAATGTTCCTCATAGTCCTTTTGTGTATCTTAAAAGGTACAGGTATCTACAGCTAAGGGTACAATTGGCAGATCCTTGAGCGTACAGCCCCAGTCACAAGCAAAGGTATAATTTTTTACAATTTTTTTCTGAGCATAGTTTCCACAATTTTACATTTCAACATTTTTAAAAGTAGGTGCTTTGCATACTTATCTGAAGGTGCCCCCTCCTGACACTCCTATAGGTTCCCCGACTGGAAACAGTAACCTTTTTAAGCATGTGATCATTTCCTTAGCCACTCCGCCACCTGCTGTCCCAGGGACTGGAGGTCTGGTATGTTCTAGGAAGCAAAGCAGACTGCTTTAGGACTGCATCAGATAAGGATACTTTGGCTGAGTCTGTGTCTGCATGGACCCATGGCTGCCATAATCCTCCGCATACATGGTGTAGTGGAAGTAATATCCAAAGAACAATGGCTTCAGGCTACCTCAGCATTTTTACCCATGCAATTAAAATATGAAATATTTTATGGTCTTATAACGTCTATGGAGGTTAGAATTCAAACACAATCCAACGATCCCTATTCAGAATGTTAATCCTGTAAGTGGGGATGGAGAGGTTTGGAAACATCTCCAGAAGCGTCAGGCAGAAGGTCAGGGTGCACTTGGTTGGCCTGTAGCCAGAAATATATTTATGGGGGAGGAATTGGGTCCATCTCAGTAGATTTCACCGATTGGGGGGTAGCAAGAAAACTCAAATGAGGGTTAAACCCCGTAATATTAGTAGATGATTAGATGCCTTGATGAATGCGTGAACTCCACACACACAGAGCAGACATGAAACTGAATGCCCCAGCCCTACGAGAAGCAGCACGATAATGCCACACACTGAGTGACTGAACAGCTCTATTTTAAAACCATTGTTGGATGTTTCTTTAAATAATTGAACTTTCACATGGTTAGGTGAATTGGTGTCTCTAAATTGCCCGTAGCGTCTGTTTGTTGGGGGGGGGGGGGGGGTGAATGTACGCTGGTGAATCCGTGCGGTCCAAGAGTTTGTGTAGTTTAACCGAACAGTCATGATCAAAAAATGTAGATTAGTAATAGTATTTCAATTGTTATCATTCTGTTTGTGACATGAACACCCACAGGTTAATGATATGTTCGTGCCTGATATCCTTAACAAATAATAGCAGAAAGAATATTAGTGGGATTTTAAACTTTACTACATTTAACAAATTAACAAAGAAAGACATTTTTAGTAAATCCAGGGACAATTCTGGGAGGGCAGAGCTCCTGTGACAATATGCATGCCCCCACTGTGCTGCCCCCCCTGTGCCGCCCCCCCCCCCCCCCTTTATACGGTTCTGCTTGGATCTGAAATATACATTTATATATGTGGCCTAAATTTTTGTGTGTTGGGAACAGGCAAAAACACAATCATGAGCACATTTTCACATCGTTGGCGTCGCTTCAGCTGCTGAAAAGCGAAGTTAACCACAGAAAAAATAATCAAGCATGTGGAAGCAAGACAGTCTAAACAAGAAATCAGAGTGAGTTACATGTTTGTAATATCTGTGAAATGTGACTGCAAAGCATCGCATAAATAACTTAACGGTTTTCAAAATTGACTTTTGCTTCTTAATGACTTAACTGACCCCAGTCTGCCCCCCGCAGTTGAAATGCCACTGGGTTCACCCTGAAACGCTTCACTTTAAAACTACATTAATGAAGGCGATTTTTAAGCACTAATACTGGATGACCCGATGCATATTGGACCAATTGAGTACCTACGTTCACTTACTAATAAAGTATATGAGGGTTTGCATGGTTTGATTGCTTGTTGCCTCCATATTTGTGTGTGTTTACATGTGAAGAAACTGGTTGTGTTTGGTGAATTAAGTCACCCATTTCAGGTCGAGGTGATAGGGGAGGGGCGTTAAACATTTATCTGCCCTGACTTGTTTGCGGTCATTCCTTTCGCTCTTCAAGATGTTTGATTCAGTGTTTGTCACACTGACTGTTGCTGTAAAGCATACTGATTATGGGAGAAATACTAGCTGTTTATCTTGTATTTTGATGCGGTATTGGTGCTTAATATCAATGAACCTGGGGCCTGTTTCACAAATCAGGGGGTGTTTTTCGTATGTAGAAATTTTTTTTTATCTGGATTTAATTGTTGACGATTTGATCCCAAATTTCTTGGTTCTTCGAAACTCTTGCTGGATTGGTTTTCACAGCATCCAATCCGTAAACACAAACCTGCTCGGATCCAGTCTATTCGATGTAAACAGGATTAGATCACACGTGTCCATTAAAGAAACCCATCCCATCATGGCCCGCCTTACTTAACAGAGCAACCGATTGGTGCAATCATAATAAAAAGAGTATCCAGGAGAGCGCCCAATTATCCCAGATCATTTAATACAGCTTCACTAATCCAATTCTCCAGTGGCTTTGAAGAACCGAAATAGCCGGATAACCCTACGATTACATCTGGGGTGAGTTCTCTGTTCCTGGGTGTTTTAATCCATGTACTAAGAACACCCCACAGGATTTGTTTAGTGTTTAGCCAGATAACTTTTTGGATTTAAGGTATTGTGGGATAAATGTAAATGGACAAAGATGAAGTACATGTAGCCCGAACTACCTTAAAAGTGCCAAGTTATATGGCTAACCAAGAAATTCTGCTTCGTGAAACAGGCCCCAGGGGTCCAATGAGTCATACACGTGTTGCACATCACACAATTACAAGACAACCCATGAATTTAGAAGAAAAACACGCTTCAATCCGCAGAACCCTAAAGGCTCGCACAGCTAAAAACTCAGTGGTTCAAATTTCTTATATACATTACAGTGCAAAAGTCAAAGAAAATGATGTTTACATGATCCCCATGTTGGTGTAAAGTTATAGTACTAAGTCTGTCAAAGTGTATCAGTTTAGCCATTTGAAAACCTTTCCTAAAGTCACCCCAGTATTTTAAGTAACCATACATCCGTGTATATTTTTGAGTGAACCACTTGCTCACCATGTTTGGCTATTCAATACCTCACTGACTTCTTAACTAATTAATTGATTAAGTGAACTGCTTGTGAAATTTAATGAGTACATGGAATGGCTGGGTGCCCCTGAGAAGAGGTTTGGGAACTGAAGTATTGTTCCTCTAGCCATCCAGCAAGGTATCAGTGACTTTTTGGAGAACATAAGAAATTCCTGTTAGTTTTTATTGTGTTACTCTTAATCTGCATATGTTCTAATGTTACGTAATGTTTTTGTTCTGAGCAAATGCATGCTTACTATCCAAATAGCTTTGAACATTTCTTTTGAAAATGCAAATCAAACAGTACTATAGGCAGTAGCTGAATGAGAGGTTTGAGCAGCCAGTACTTTTGGGGGGGGGGGTCCCCTAGTTGAATTTGCATCATTGCTGGTTATTGAAAATGCAGAAAAAGCAAAAGGGACAGGTACTCAGGTGGCCCTGCACCCCACCCCCCCACACATGCCTGGTGCTACGATACTAAGGATTGCAACAGAAGCTTTATGACGCCCTGGAGACTGGGCCTTGGATTGATATTCTATTCGAAAGGCTGAACATAAATGGGAACCATCCCTTACTGTCCCCACTGTGCACTGGTCCACTGCATTAGCACTGGCATGTATCTGCTGCTGTCTCCTGGGCTTGGACATGATCTGCAGGCCATGCATGCATGAGGCCTCCATGCATTCGGATTGTTATTCAATAAACTGGAGCTTCCTTGCTTTGCCCAGCCTTCCTCCGGGGGGGATCTCGGAGTCCCCCGGCTGGCAGCTTTTTGCCAGATGCTGACAGATGGAGGGAAGTCAGTAACTTCCATCTACGGCTTCCTCTTGGATGTCAGATGTTAG